GCAGAGTGTTAAGCCATAGCCTATGCCTATGACACCAGCATCCCAGAGTCCTGGCTGCCCCACTTCCAATCCAGCTCCCTGCTAATGCAACTGGGAAGGCATAAGAAGATGGCCCAAGTGCGGGGTCCCTGCACCCATGTGAGAGACCTAAATGGAACTCCGAGCTCCTGTCTTTGGCTTGGCCCAGTCCCAGTCATTGCAGCCATTTGTGGAGTGAAGCAATGGATTGAACATTCATATTCATTCATTCTCTCTCTCTCTCCTTGACCTTGACCTCAAAAGTAAAAGAATTGATCAATGTGCCTGAGTGAAACACATCAGTGATAGAGAATACAGAAAATGTTTGATTACCTTTGAAACTGGAAAATTATGGGCCTTTATGGTGGGAGATGGTGCAGAAGATAGAAAGAAACAGAAAACAAGCAATATGGCTTCCACTGGACAGCATCAGTATGGGGCCCACCAGGTTAGAGTTAATTAGCTTCTCTCTGTCCATGTACTTTTCTTTTTCAGCTACAGGAGGTCACCATTCATGGCATCAATTTAAAAAACTAATCTGCCAGTACTTGATCTAAGATTTCAAGCTTTCCATTCAATGAGGGAAAATATCTTGTCATTTCAGAAAGGCTAGAGCACTGAATGAAGGATTTAGAATTGGTCTAATTAAGCAAAAGTGGCTGATGAAAATTAACCTTCTCAGAAAATAAAATCTGAAAATCTAACCTAACTAATGATATGTAAATTACTTTACTTGAAGATAAAATTATATTTGAAGCCACGTAGAGTTGAGATGTCCTTTTAACAAAGATCTGTCATGGTTAAGAATGTAGTATCCAGGGAGGAAGAATCCTTTTCAATCCCAGATGGGACTGTGAGCTGCAAATGTCTTGCTTCATATTAAGGTGCCAAATGATGCAATTTTTAAGGAAAAGCAAATATTAAAGAGACTAACATCTCAAAACAATCATAAGTATGAACCCTGTCGTTCAGTGCAGCACACCAGTGTGCTCCCTTGGAGCTCCATACTTAACCCCGCCATAACACATCCTACCGTGAATCATCTTGTCTTTTTGTTAACCAACCTTCCCCACTTAACTGTATCTTAGTCATACTGTACCCACTAGGCCTTGGCAAAGTACCTCATTCATAATAGGTGTTTAATAAATATATGAAAAATAAAGGAATTTTGCATTCATGCTTCTATGTTCCTATAGTTTTTAAATGATGCCTTGAATACTAATCGGATCAGATAAAAATTTATTTGAATGAATTGGTTAAGGAAAGATTCACTTTTGCATATGATGGTCACAACAAGAGAAGTCTTGAACCAAACCAGCCACTTCAATGAAAAGAATAATTTCATGAGGCATCTCAGTGGTCTTATATTATAACTTCCTCTCAGGCTATGCCCCATCTGTATAGCCGTATCCGTGCTGCACTGTGTGAAAGAACCAGTGAGGAAGAAAGTATCTTAAAAAACAAAAAGAGCTACTAAAATTTCCCCTAATTCAAAGCCTGGCGTTTTTCTGATTTCTCTTTTGGGTTGATGATGAGGAATCAGTTAATCATAGTATAATGTAAACTTTGGTAATTTATTGCTCCAAAAATCTCCCAACAAGAGGTAGTTTGCCAAACTATTCCCCATAATTCAAGTGTTGCTTCCCTTAAAACAATAACAAAATAAAGATGTTGAAACATGGACACTATTTACTTCTAAACATAAGCTTGGAAGCTTGTTGCTCACGTGGATTGGACTCAATCTCATGGCTCCTGTCAATGAACCAGAGTCAGGTATTACATGCAACTGGGATTCAATAAGCTCTTAACACTTTGAATGAGTCCAAAGTATTGCAAGGAAAGTCAGAGATCATCACAGAAATTCTACCACTTCCTAGAATGATTACTTAGGTCATGCTTATGTATCTACTGTAACCCTTGAGTAAGCAACCTTTGTATCTGACACCAAAAAGAGAAACCCATCAGTCCCTATCCCTCTCTTCATTTGAAATATTCTTTTCCTGTTTTCCTCATCTGATTTCCTGGTCCATCACTCTTCTCTCAACTAATCTTTCTATTTTGTCATGTTCTCTCTTCTTACTACATCTAACACCCAAATACGATTCTCACTTTTCCTGCAGGCATTGTTTAAAAGAATTTTCCAGATCATTGAAACTTACTCCTTTAAACTAAAATCCCTTTGCAAATTACTTTATACATTGTGGTTGAGATTTTCTAGAATGTACCATTTGTTCCCTTTACTATTTAACAGAGTATACATACACTATACAACTTGAGACTTTCTTGCCTATGCAGTCTTATCAATCTAAACAGCCCCTCAGGTACTTCTGAGAAGTTTAGAGCTCTCTTCCACGTACTACCCAGCCCCAGATCACTGAATATTACTACTTTGTTTTCTATGTCATTTTTGTAGCTCCATATTTCCTTACTGTCAGGAAGAGCTTTTACTTTGTGTCTTTGTCATTATATCCGACTTTTGCTATTCCCCTTCCTACTCTCCAGTCTGCTGTGGGATGGGTAGGTAGACATCCAACTCTGTGTGTGACAGGTTTTCCTGACATATCTTCACTAATCTTTGAAAAGGGTCTACAGCCCATTCTGTGAGTAAAGTTAAATGGATTTATGACAAATATTTCATTTTTAAAAAGATTTACTTATTTTTGAAAGACAGAGACACAGATAGAGAAAGAAAGATACACAGAGAGATCTTCCTTCTGCTGGTTCATTCCACAAATGGCTACAACAGACAGGGCTGAGCCAGGGCTGGGCCAGGCTGAAGCCAGCAGCCCAGAACTCAATCCAGGTCTCCCATATGGGTGTCAGAGTCCCAAGCACTTGGATCATCATCTGTTGCCTTCTCAGGCACATTAGCAGGAAGCAGGATCAGAAGTGGAGCAACTGGGACTCAAACCAGAAATCCAGTGTGTGATGCTGGTGTCGCAAGTGGTACCTTAGTGGCTACTTAACAAAGCAGATGTCTATGACAAATATTTCAAGAGCTCAAAGACCCTTATACAACCCTGAGTTTGGGATCATATGAGAGATAAAAGAGGATAAGTAAAGTAGAATAACATTTCAGATGTGGATAGATGGAGTATCACTGTCATTTGTATTCATATAGAAGTGCTGTTTCCAGAACAATTTGTATTCATGTTTTAGACTGCAGTGCATTTGTGTAATCTATCATCATTCTGCATTTAAACTGCAGATAAAAAAAAGAAACAGAAAAGGACAAAGCACTGACCTTTCAAGTTAGACACCGTCATAGGGCTGGAGCTTCCTCAGACATCCCCACGTGCTGCCCTTTCAGTGCACTGCCTCGGTCTCCGGACATTCATTTGCCATAAGCTAAGTGACCCAGTGCCATCAGCACAAGCTCCCCTTGTCACTCTCCCTTCTCAGACCCCATTAACCACACCTTCTTTTCAGTTTGCTTAAAAAATGCTTTTAATAAGGGAAAAGCAGGTCTTTATTCTGTCCTCACAAATTCCTTTAAAATAATAATACATAGTCAGGGCGTTTTGCTGTTCCATTGTAAAAAACACTAACAAATAATATTATTGATCAGCTCTTCCCTCCCGCTACTTGACAGTAGTTGTTATTTTCTTCTTCTTCTAAATCAACTCTACTGTGTATATGTAAGGTATACTCCATGATGTTATGGGATAGCTGTAGATAGTAAAAAGGTTCCTGTAGCGAAGCAGGTGAATGTATCCCTCATCTCACATGCTTACCCAGCTCTGCTTGTTTTTGTGGTAAGAGCAGCTACAATCTACTCGTTTCTCATGAGTCCCATCCACAGTACAGTTTTATTAACTATCATCCTCCTGTTGCACATTAGATCTCTTTTCAGTTTCTTAAAGAGCAATCTTGCTACTATCAATGGCTTATCCCTCACTTTCCCCCTTTAAAACAGGCAATTTCATGATTCTGGTGTGTTTGGTTCAATCCGGGTCTAAGATGTGTTTTACCTTTTTCTCACTCAAGCTTGCCAAAATTCTAATTCATGGTTCCTGCATACTCCTGTTTCCTAAACACCGGCTCCTCTCCCTCTGCTCAAATCTATCCTGAACAGAACAGTCCCCTACTCTTTCATCACTGACCTCACAATCTACTTCCTCAACACTCTTATTGGTTAGCTCTCAAAATATTCCTTGCTCCATCTGAATGCTATATTTTACCTTTGGTTCCTTATATAGTGCTTCTTACCACCTACCTCCTCCTGTTCATTCTTACATTAGTGACTTCCAGTTTTATATGCTCCCTATAGTTTTGTGGACAGAATTAATGAAACTCATCAAGATACTCTTTCCTCATCTGTCTACTCCAGAGTCCCATCCATGACCACACTTTAATATCTTCAACCTCCGCTCAAGACATTTTTTAAATGCCTTGGACTTTAAGTGACTACTTTCTGAATTTTATTTATTCAACTTCTTTCCCTTTTATATCCTTCCCAAAACCTCTAGTGAAAGAATTACATTTGTTACTGGTCTCCACACCCCCTGCCCCTCTCCTCCTCCCTCAGACTGTAATTGTCAATCGCAGGAGTGAACTTCTGAACATTTAGAAAGAAGTTGGGTGCTGCATTATATAATACCCATTCTCTAAACTGTACAACTGTGCACTGCAAGAGAAGATTGGCATGTGACATGCTCAATTCTAAATAAAACCAAAATAAAATAGAACTGCTTCCTCTTCATATTGTAGCATCTAGACATTTACGTCATAACAAGAACAATAAATGCAATCAAGTGAAAGTCCTAATGGATGTACAGATAGTAATAATGTTGAACAAAGACCCAAGTTAAATTTTTAAAAAATGTATGAGCTATGTATTTAAATTGACAAATCTTTTAGATTCTTGGATAAAAACTATTACATTTATATCTGTCCATATATCTAACAAAACTAATATTATTGTCTGCCCTAGGACAACCCTCCTAACCTGAACATAGAAACGTGACAAAATAATCATTTACCTTATAGAAGATCATAAAAAGGTCATCAAGTTTCCCATGCAAATCACCTAGAATGCAAATGAACAATCACAATCAGTAGGAAACAAGGCACAATGCCCACTGTCTTATTTTTTTTTTAAGATTTATTTATTTTATTTGAGAGAGAGAGAGAGAAAATTTTCATCTGCTGGTTCATTCACCAAATTGCTGCAATGGCCCAAGGCCGGGCCAAGCCAAACCCAGGAGCCAGGAGCCTCTTCCGGGTCTCCCATATGGGTGCAGGAGCTCAACGCACTTGGGCCATCTTCCACTGCTTTCCCAGGCACATCAGCAGGGCGCTGGGTCAGAAGTGGAGCAGCCAAGACTTGAATCAATGTCCATATGGGATGCCAGTGTCACAGGTGGGGGGCTTAACTCACTATGCCACAATGCTGCCTTCCCCATTGTCTTATAAAATCGTTAAACTGAAACACTGCTGATATACTTCAAGTGTTCTCAGGACATTAGATTTTTATCCTATGATGATGTTAATTCAAAGGTAATTTGCAGGGTGGCCATTTGGCACAGCAGTTAAGATGCTCCTATCGCACACCAGAGCGCCTAGTTCTGTTTCTGATGTCAGCTTCCTACTAACATGCAGCCTAGGAGGCAGTGGTGACGGCTCAAGTACTTGGGTCCCTGCCACCTGTGTGGGAGACCTGGATTGAATTCTCAGTTCCTGGCTTCCCCATGGTCCAGCCCCAGCTGTTACAGGCATTTGAGAAGTTTATCAGCTGATAGAAGATCTATTTTATCCTTTCTTTTCTTTTTTTAAAGGCAATTTGTTTGCATAGCACTCTTTTCTTACCTCCTCTCAGAGCACAGTATCCAGTAGCACAAATACCTGTTCACTCTAGCCGTTTACATGGGGTTTCGCTGACTCTGGGCCAAGCACTGAGCTGAGGGTTTTACATGAATTACCTTGTGCAATACATGCTGTGAGATAGGTATTCTTTTCACCATTCTCATTTTACAAGTGAGGCACGGAATAGTTAGGTTTAGGCAGCTACCCAGCTAGCAACTATCAGAGCTGGTATTCAAACCCAACTTTATGTGGCTTCAAACTCCAGCTGGGAGCAATTAGTCCTGCTGCGTACAGTGTAATCCCCAGGGGAGCAGTAACAGTATCCATCTTAGTCAGCATTAAACCCACAAGAGCCTCCTGTAGTAGCTGGTGCACAGTAGGCACTCAATAAACACAGTTAATCACTAAATGCGTAGCTGTTTAAAGCTATATTTTAAAGAACAAGCTCCAGCAGTAGCATCTGAAATTTAAAAATTGTAAGTATATGGTTGACATTCTTTTGATGACAGTTACAGGAAATAAAAAAGAAAGCCAACTAAGGGAAACCAAATGAATCTATGAAGCCCTTAATTAAAAAGTAACAGTGATCATGTGAATATTCAAAAGCCTTATTTGGATAACTATTGCTAGGTAAAGTATCTGTCTTTCATAAGCTCTGTTCATAAATTTTATTCTTAATTACCATAGAATTTAATTTAGGAATACTCTTCCTCAGTTTGCTTAAAGTCCCACAATCAGATTAATCAAATATATGCAACAGAAGACACTAATTATACTGAGAACAATAAAATTAAAACCCCATGTCACCAGAACTTAGTTATAAAATATGGCAATATCAATTATAATATTTAGTTATAATATTAAGAGCATAATATTCACATTAATATATTGTATGTTTAAATATCATTGATTTTAATACAGTTGTACTCCAAATATAAGGAAATAAAGGTAGAAGGATTTCTAATTAGACAGCAAATTAAAAACTTGTATCATAGGAATATAGACACAAAAATATTTCTACTGTAAACAAAACCATGAATACAGAATTGGTTATCATTTATAACACAGCTGTAGACTAGAAAGTTTCCTATATTTCATGCATGTTAAGAACTATGCAGTTGGGCCAGTGCTGTGGCATAGTGGGTAAAGCCGCTGCCTGCAGTGCCAGCATCCCATATGGGTGACGGTTCGAGTCCTGGCTGCTCCACTTCTGTTCCAGCTCTCTGCTATGACCTGGGAAAGCAACAGAAGGTGGTCCGAGTCCTTGGGCCCCTGCACCCGCATCGGAGGCCCAGAAGAAGCTCCTGGCTCCTGGCTCCTGGCTCCAGATCGGCACAGCTCCGGCTGTTACGGCCAGTTGGAAAGTGAACCAGCGGATGGAAGACCTCTCTCTCTCTGTCTCTCCTTCTCTCTGTTTAACTCTGACTTTCAAAGTAAATAAATAAATCTTAAAGAGAGAGAGAGAGAGAGAGAAAGAGAGAGAGAAAGAACTATGCAGGCATTATTTAGATGTCCATATAAAAATGCATCATGAAATTAAAATAATGGTAAATTTTGAACACAATTTCTCTCCCTTTCCTAATACTATCTTAAATAAAAGATGGTTTTTGAAAAGATGGCTCCAATTCTAACTTTATAAATTGTAAAAAATTTCACATTTTTGAAATTTTGATGATGACCAAACTTTCCAAGTTCAATGGGCCATTAAAGATAAAAAATAATAATTCCTATATTAAGAGAACATACTGGTCTTTGGTTTTCCTTCTCGCAATGTTTCTAAGTGGACAAACTCTGGAAATAAATGTCCAAGATGAAGGAATATTTAAATGAATGGAATTGTCCAATCAACCTAACCCATAGTTTTTGTCTCATGATGGAAATTGAAATATCAACCAAACAGGATACGGTGAGAGTCAGCAGACATAGCGTTGCCCCTAACTGGGGCACAGAAAACCTGGTTTTTAATTCTGACACTGCCATTAAGTAGCCTAGTGGGTGGAGGTGGGGGTGGGGGTAGTACACAGAAATGCATATAATGCACTTTCCTCTCAGGGCCTCAATTTCATCCTTAAGAGCAAAGGGTAGACTAGACCATCTCTCTCTCTCTTTTTTTTTTTAAGATTTATTTATTTATTTGAAAGTCAAGAGTTACACAGAGAGAGGAGAGGCAGAGAGAGAGAGAGAGTCTTCCATCCGATGGTTCACTCCCCAGCTGGCCGCAACAGCAGGAGCTGCAGTGATCAGAAGTCAGGAGCCAGGAGCCAGGAGCTTCTTTGAGGTCTCCCACACAGGTACAGGGGCCCAAGGACGTGGACCATCCTCTACTGGTTTCCCAGGCCATAGCAGAGAGCTGGATCGGAAGTGGAGCAGCCAGGTCTGGAATCCGCGCCCACAGGGGATGCCGGCGCTTCAGGCCAGGGCGTTAACCCACTGCGCCACAGCACTGGCTCCTACTAGACCATCTCTGTAAGAACCCCATCTCTGTAAGAACCCCTCAGTTCTTACACTATGGGATGCTAGCATTCCCTTGCCCTCTAGTTAATTCATATCTTCTTCCAGATTCCATTCACCAAACATTAAGTCTGTAATGGTATACTGGAAACACACCTTCTATTTTGGCTTTAATATGATGGCAAATCCAGCCCTGGATCACATGCTGGCAGGGTTTCCTGAGCCTTATGACTCTAAGTGCTTTATTTCCATGAAAAGTAAGGCCCCCAGTGCTAAGGCATATCATCTACAAGTCAGAGACCGGGTGGCCTGGCTGTGCTGGAACTGAACCTTTAGAGAGTCTTCAAAGACCTCAGTTAGGACATGAGCTCTGCACTTGCTACCTCAAATCCCTCTCACCACGGTCAGATGCTGGGCATGGGAATGGTTTAATTAGATTGTCAGATCCACTTCTACCTAGCAGAAACACAGGCTAAAAATTGATTCGGAAAATAACAATCACTGTTTTGTAACCCGAAGGCTTAATTAGAAGTAAGGGAATTGCTGTTCCTTCCATGCACCCCATTCTCAGGCAGTTGCAAGCACGCTGAGCACCAACTGTGATGAATTTCAATGTGTACTCTTTCTGGAAGCAATATCCTGCCAGGCTGACCTATATGATAACAGAATCTCAAATCTTGTTATTTAGAAGAACAAGAAACAGATTTCTGGGACATTCCCACTCTTCTACAGGCTGCAGAGACCAGTTGGAAAAATCTAAAACAGCAGCCAAGGGCAATACATAGTTTACTCTCCAGCTTGACTTGGGCTTTTGTCTACCCCACGTAAGTGGCACGCAGAGACCCACCTAGAAAAAGCAACGTGCAACAAAGATAATGAGAGCTAGACGGAGGGCAAAGAACACTTATTCCACCCATGGGTGGTTTTCCATATTAAAATGCTGCCTGCCTTTATAAAAAGCTATGAGTTCTTTTAATTTCTCACATAATTAATTCCTACCAGCTGGTATGCAAAACAAAGACAAGATGGGGAACAGTATTATCATGATAGATAATTCTATATTAACATTTTTCCCTTAACACAGTCCAATTTACACAGTTTTCAAGTTAGGCAAATGATCTAGGACCAAGAGGCTCCTAAATATTAATTTGACAACTCTAGTCTGAAACTTACCACAGATTGTTATCTCTTTGGAGGGAGAAGTATTTATGTGAGTGAAATTCGACTTCTGCATGAGGATTTTCTTGGTTTCAAACAGCACCTCTAAGACATAATGAGCATGAAGTATCTGCGAGGGGGAAGCAGAAGAAAGAGATGTAATAATCCAGGAGGCAAGATGCGGCTGTGTAGAAAACTATAACATGGAGCGCGTGAGCACAATGTAGGTTGCTGCATTTCAAGCTGCAGCTAAGTCATTCACAGCTTTGTCTACCACATAACAAGCCCTCAGTAGATATTTGTAATTGAACGAATGACTGGTTCCTAAGACATTTACATCTTTGTAACTGACATTATCCATCTGCAAACATTTCTGATTATTCTTGGTCCATAGAGCCCAAAGAGGTGATAGGACAAAAGGAGACCGCCTTGGCCCTAAAACATGTGCAAGTAATAATAATAAGAGGAGAGAAGCAGAGGGCATTTGTCTAGTGGTTAGGATGCCTGCATCTCACACTGGCGTGCCTGCGTAAGTATTCCTGGCTCTGGCTGTTGGCCCTGGCTTCATGTTAATGAAGACCCATGGAAACAACAGTGATGGTTCAAGTGATTGGGTCCCTGTCACCTACACAGGAGACCTAGATTGAGTTCCCTGCTCTTGGCGTCAACCTGGCCCAGCCTTGGCCATTGTGGACATTTGGGGAATGAGCCAGCAGATGGGAGCTCTATATTTATATCTGTCCTTTTCTCTCTGCCTCTCAAGTAAATAAATCAGTCTAAAAAAAAAGAAAGAAAGAAAAGAAAAAAAAAGGAGAGAGCGAGCATGAGAGCATGCAAAAGAGAACAACCAGGGCTAGTGTTGTAGCAGAATGGGAAAGCTGCTATCTGCGATGCCAGCATCCCATATGGGCGCCGGTTCGAGTCCTAGGTCCTGGCTTCTCCACTTCTAATCCAGCTCCCTGCTAATGCACCTGAGAAAACAGCAAAAGACGGCCCAAGTGCTTGGGCCCCTGTGTGTCTCCCCTATTTGGGAGGCCCAGATAGAGCTCCTGGCTTCAACTGGGCCCAGCTCTGGCTGTTGTAAACCATTTGGGGAGGTAACCAGCAGATGGAAGATCTCTGTATCTACTTTTCTCTCTGTAACTCTGCCTTCCCAATAAATAAATAAATTATTTTTTAAAGAAAGAGAACAAGTAGACAAAGTTTGTTGAAGAGGTATTGCTTTGTGTTTGTTGGGACATCCTGCCATCTGAAATGGAAAGTAGGTGTTGCTGGGCTCAGATCTTACAAGGCAGCCAGAATGGCTCCCGAGGAACTTCTGAATCAGACCTCCCAGTATGGCTCCAATATTTGAAATACAGCCTTGAGAATTTTCTGAACAACAAGCACATTTCTGTAAAATCTAATTATAAAACATATTCCAAACCCCAGTAAAGCACTTGGATTATCTCCTATTTATTACTATTCATCCCATTACTCTTCTGTAATTACAGCGTTCACGAGATTATAACTTTTTAAGTATAGGTTTACTTCATTTTTCCCCTGGGTGTTGTTCTTATAATATACTTGTCATTTTCCCTTTTTTCAGTTATAAAATATTTCAAGTACATAGCCCAAAATATAGCAGAGATGTGACTACCACACAAATTTAGTAGATAGTAACACAACTTTAAGTTTCAGAATTACTTAGCACTGTGCTGTCCAATATGGTAGCCACATGGGGTATTACGGACTTGAAATCTGAACTGAGATGCACTGAAAGTGCAAATTCATAGTAGACTTCAAAAAGTCAGTATAAAGGAAGAAAGTAAAAGATCTCATGAATAATTTTAATACAATTGCCCATTAAAATGATAAGATTTTGTGGCCGATGTTGTGGTACAGCATGTTAAGCTGCCACCTACAATGCCAGCATCCCTTATGGGCACCAGTTCGAGTCCTGATTGTTCTACTTCCCATCCAGCTCACTGCTAACGTACCTGGGAAAGCAGCAGAAGATGGCCCAAGTGCTTGGGCCCTTGCATCCATGTGGGGAAACCCAGATGGAGTTCCAGGCTCCTGGCTTCAGCCTTACCCAGAACCAGCCATCGTGGCCATTTGAGGGAATGAACCAGCAGATGGAAGCTCGCTCTCTCTCTCTCTCTCTCTCGATCTGTGTGTGTATGTGTCTCCCTGTCTGTAACTCTGCCTTTCAAAAAAAAATAACTTTTTTTTTTTTGACAGGCAGAGTGGACAGTGAGAGAGAGAGAGAGAGAGAGAGAGAAAGGTCTTCCTTTGCCGTTGGTTCACTCTCCAATGGCCGCCGCGGCCGGCGCGCTGCGGCCGGCACACCGCGCTGATCCGATGGCAGGAGCCAGGAGCCAGGTGCTTTTCCTGGTCTCCCATGGGGTGCAGGGCCCAAGCACCTGGGCCATCCTCCACTGCATTAAAAATTATAATATTTATATATTAAGTATATTATTAAAATTAATTTCATCTTTTTTACTTTAAATGTGACTACTAGAAATTCTAAATTATGTACATGGCTCATATTATATTTCTATTAGAAAGCACTGGTGTAAATTACTGAAGGCTGAAAGAAGGGCCATAGCTATATTTGGTTCAGATATTGCCCTGAGTATAGGCTTAAGGTAGAACCCTTTAAGCCAATACTCTCTCATGGTACCCTGAAATTTCCATTTTCATACCTATAAAAATAATAATTTTTTCTTCCCTAGGCCCTAAAACATATGATTTAAGTTTTAGAATTTTCATGATTAAATACTTGTTGCAGGGCAGGCATTAAGGTACAATGGTTATTAAGCCACTGCTTGGGACACCTGCATCTCATATTAAAAAGTGCCTCGGATTGAGTTCTGGCTCCTCCACTTTTTTTTATGATTTATTTATTTGAAAGTTGGAGTTATACGGGGGGTGGGGGCTGGGGGGTCTTCCATCCACTGGCTCACTCCCCAATTGGTCACAACAGCCAGAGCTGAGCCAATCCAAAGCCAGGAGCCGGGAGCTTCTTCCAGGTCTCCCAGGTGGGTGCAGGGGCCCCAGGACTTGGGCCATCTTCTACTGCTATCCCAGGCCATAGCACAGAGCTGGATTGGAAAAGAAGCAGCCGGGACTAGAACCGGTGTCCATATGGGATGTGGGTGCTTCAGGCCAGGGCATTAACCCACTGCGCCACAGCACTGGCCCCTCCTCCTCCTCCTCTTTTGATCTAGCTTCCTGTTGGTGAACCTGAGAGGCAGCAGGTACTGGCCCAAGTAATTGAGTTCCTGCTACCCACAAGGGAGAATGAAGTTGAGTTCCTGACTCCTGGTTTTGGCCTGGCCAGCCCTGTCCGTTGTGGGCATTTGGGGAGTGAACCAGTGGAAGGAAGACCTCTTGGTGTTTCTCCCTCTTTCTCTGTCACTCTGCCTTTCAAATAAATAAATAAAACTTAAAAATAAATACTTGTTTTAAAGAGACAGGAAACAGGATTTCTGAGAATTAGGAGGAAACAGAAGGGCCCCTGGATACTGATTAATGAGGAGAAGCCCACAATTCATGTGTATCCAAGACTTAATGGGCTGAATGTAGTTCCCCACAAAAGCTTCTAAATCCATTTAATCCACAACTTGAATCAAAATTTAAACATGACCGTTCCTTTAGCCACATTTTAGAGCCATGGGCAAAAGCATTTTTGTATAATGGCTTATGCCAGCACATCTGTTGATTCCCAGCACTGGGTTCAGTGTTACCTTAACAGGTCCATTTGTAGCACTGATCAGAGTAGTTGTTTTTCCAAAATGTTAAATTAACATAATGACTAAAAATATATTGCAACAACTGAAAATCCTTTTCATTAAAATAACTTTTCTGGGTCCTAGCTTGGCTAAAAACTACTTTGGTTTTGGTTTTAGAATTATTTATTTGTTTGTTTGAAAGGCAGAGAGAAATTCCCCAAATGTCTATGGGGACTAGACCAGATTGAAGCCAGGAGTCAAGAGCTCACTTTGGGTCTCCCTCAAGTACTTGGTCTCCCAATTCGGGCAGGGACCAAGTACCTGAACCATCATCTGCTGCCTCCTAGGGTGTACAGTAGCAGGAGTGCTGGAATCAGAAGCAGGGCTGCAACTTGAACCGAGGTACTCAGACATGGGATATTGGATATGGGATATGGGATGTGTCTTAATTGCTGTGCCAAATGTCTGCTCCAGGAGGTAAGCATCTTACCCAGCACCCTAAATGCTAGTCTACATGCCCACTTCTAAAATCACTGCTAATATTAGTATTTTTTAAAGGATTTCATTTAATAGCATTATAATTGGGCTTATAAGTGCAATATTAAATACTCAAAACAATTAATTCAGATATTGGTTTCTACATTTATAAACATATTCAGATGTAATAACAAGTTAAATGAAGTACTCATTAAAAGGCAGTGAAGGTGAATCAGCCCTAAAGGCATTCGGATCTGGCTGAAAAGCCCATGAGAGTATTTCAGGCATGGAAAGCCAAGACACTCTGGCAAAAAGATCTCTGTGAGTGAGATCCCAGTGGAAAGAACAGGTCTTCAAAAAAGGAGGTACCTTTCTCTGAAGGGAGGAGAGAACCTCCACTTTGACTATGACCTTGTCTAAACAAGATAAGAATCGGAGAACTCAGAGGGCTTCCATAGCCTTGGAAACTCATGACTGGAGCACAGGGAGATTACTGATGCCATAGACAGGAGTGTCAATTGGTAAAGTCAACAACAGGAGTCACTGTGCACTTACTCCTCATGTAGGATCTCTGTCCTTAATGTGCTGTGCATTGAGATTTAATGCTATAACGAGTACTCAAACAATATATTTCACTTTGTGTTTCTATGGGGGTGCAAACTGTTGAAATCTTTACTTAATGCATACTAAACTGATCCTCTGTTAAAAAAAAAAAAAAGAAATTATCAACTCCCAACTTGACTCTCACTGGGATTAAACATGACAATAGGTCTGATCTGATTTCATCATCATTTAAAAAAAATCATCTATTATTTTTCACTTTATGTTTCTGTGTGGGAGCAAACTGTTGAAATCCATACTTAATGTATACTAAGCTGATCTTCTGTATATTAAGATAATCGAAAATGAATCTTGATGTGAATGGAAGGGGAGAGGG